ACATTATTTTCGCAAACAGGTGTTTGCACTTACTCACTGCAGTAGCCCTTGCTTTGATACGGTTTGTTATCACACTCAGGTACGGAAAAAAATATGTTACTAAGTTTCGGCACTGGCAATGCACATTTCGCCACCACACGGAAACCCTATTAACATGAAATCGTGAAGTTTTAGGTTTCATCTTGGACCCCCGATGATAACGCTTGAAAGAAGGACTACTGTTTTACTAGTGCCATAGTCTTTTCCCTTACGTAAGGTCAGCTGAGCTGTCATGCCTTATTTTTCCGTAATCGCGATTGACGTTTTGCCTACTTCCTGAAACTGGGAACTGGTCCTTGAGTAATTTTCTTTTCGTCCCAATGGAGCGTTTACTTATATACTAGGGTCATGGTAGTTAACTTTACGGAAACTAACGTGACGTGGTATGTTACCATTTAGTATTCGCGCTTAGTCGTTTAACTACTTCTTACCGCACGCAACACGATACTGATATCGATTGCAGGAAGTGCAAATACCTGCAGGGTATAGCATAACTGCTTTGGTACCTATTTCCGTATACTCTATTGGCCTACAACTTCTAGGAAGGAACCTAGTACGGCCGCCGTCACGTGAGTAATCCTCAGTCGGTGAAAATTATGTTCTACGTGGAGTTGCAAATGCTTTTAAATGTATGCTTAAAATCGAATCGACAACAGCTGTAGAAGCCATAAAGGTAACCCCACTAGTTCTCCCGAACACAACCTGACCATACAGTGAGAGAAATAAAAAAGAAAAGCTAACGGGTAGAAGTACGTTTAATGCAAGCGTCTGTAGAATACGAGCAGGAAAGCTACAAATTTGAATATTGAATTGACGAAAGGCATTAGATGGTTTTGGCAAACACAATCGAATTGTGGGGAAGAGTTAATATGTTAAAGAGCAGGTCAGCGGATAATATAAAAACTGCATTATATCCACACAGGACGAGACGGACGGGGACTCCAATCATAACATTTTGGTGGATTAGAGAGTTGACACACTCGAAGGCGACGCCCACCTCTACGAGGCCGCGCGGCTGCCAAAACATCATCGCCACCGGCGGCTTCAACATCGTCTTCCACCGATCTGATAAAAATGTCCTTGCCTGCCGTGCCCCGCATCTGATCGGCGCCGATTTCTGATGGGTCCGCATAGAGATAGCCTTCATAAACAGGTGGTAGGGCTGACGCTGGATGCGTCGCCAAAAAGAGAACACCAGCGAAGAGGAGGAGAAGGGCTGACGGTAGAATGGTCGTAGATGTCATGGCGTGGTCTGACGTGCAGAATTCGACTGCTTCCTCAGTGTGCGCATTAAAGGGCCTTTTATAGATCCGCGCTATGTGCGTCAGTCTATTTCATAGTAAACAACCAGCAGCTTTCACCCACGTAAATGAATAAGGTGACCATTGTAGCATTCGGCGAAAATATGTCATTTTATAAGATGCAGGTTGGTCACTAACATTAGATTACTATGCGCGAATAGCTACTATAGATAGTGCACAAAAAGTGACTTGGTAGTTTAATACATAGTTCGTCATGTTATTTCAGTCCACTGGATGGATTTACTCCTGGGAAACACTTTTAGTTACGAAAGTCGCCCTCTTAGTTAAGTTTATTAACAATTTTGGGAATTAATTTTGTCAGAATTGGCAAATGCTGGTAATTAACACGCAATCAAAATTTTTATCATTATGCAGGCCTATGGAAGTAGTACACAATAAGTACGGAAAGCTTCAAATTAATTCCTTACTGAACCAGAAAAATAAGTCTGAATTTGCAGAAATTTCAGTAAGCCAATTTGAAGGAATTGCATTTATTTCCAGAACTAAGGAGCAATTTCAGTTTTAAAAATTATTTTTTTGCTAAACTGTATAGTTATTCTTCACTGCTGCGGGCACAGATGCAGTTGTCTCTGAACACTCTTCAGATGCGCCCGAACCTCCTGAAGCGATTACGGTGTGAGTAAAGAGTTTGGACAATAACTACATGCATTATTTGATGCCAACGGTTATCCGGAGTCTAGTCTTTCAGGAATGACCACCTGGAGGTTTGGACAGTAGAGAAACTTTGGAAGTGGCCTTATATCCCGAAGCTCGGTGTTTGTTTTACTACGAAATAATGGCATCGCTATCTCTAGAGTTGACACATAAAGTAATTTTCCTAGTTTATATTGCGTGCATAAATTGAAAAAGGAGTTGATGTGCCTTACGATCAATGTTTGCATTTAATTCGTCACAGGGTTTTCGGACTGAGCGGTCTATAGTCGTTTGTATTAGGGTGCGACTGGGGCTTTAATGGCAAGTATTCTCCGAGAAAGTAAGTTTTATTTAAACTAATGCTGTGCTCTCCCTGGACATACTTTTTTAACAAAATCCTGATTTTAGCGGGCTGATCGTTTAAGGTTAGCCTTTATGAACTACCGTAGACCCGCTCGGCGTTTGATTTATTATTCCGTAGTGCCTAGTCCCAGATAAGTTGAACGCCGATGCATGAAATAAGAATTATCTGGAGGAAAGGGACCAAGATCGTTCCACTTGGGTGCACAAAATATGAATATGGTCAATATATTCCTGTAAAATGAAAGTAAATGAAGTATTTGGATGCCATTTGCGGAAATAAAATACCACCGGTGCACAAATAAAGGACTTCATATTACGCCCAGGTACTACGCCCTAAGGTCTGCCTGATGTAATCTGCAACTCCTTCTAAGCATGACGTTTAATGACTCAATCATCTCAAAAATATTAAATACTCCTTGCATATTATGTCAAGTGTGACGAGGACCGTGGATTCAGCGTCACAAAATTAAGTAAAAAATGCTTTTCTAATGAACGTATTTGCATTCAAATAATATTTTAGGAACCCTGCCTTCCGACTAGTATGAATATATGTATAGATATAGGGAATGGGGGTTCATTCGATGTATCCGATTTTGGTCATATACTTGTCCCGGTGTGATATCAGACCGTCGCCTTGGGGTTCCAACCCTTGAAATTGGGTATGACGGGAGTCGAAGCCGCAAAGCAAGAAAGGGCCTTCCGCAGCTAACTTTCAACCATTTTAGCTACGACGTCAAGCCTTGGGTCGTGAATTGAACCACAATTGGATCCTTAGCTGCGTACAGGCCTTCCCTGCTTTGCGGGTTTCACTCCCACCAAACGCGCAATTTTTTCAAAATTGGGAAAAGTGTACAATGCGCGAAAATCTAACGATGGAGCAGTTGACGTTTTTACACAGATGCCGAAGAATGAAGATTTTGTCAAAGCCTATCCGTATTCAACCTGCTTTAAGAACAATCCAAAGATACGAGATTGCATCTCGTTATGGTCAGAGCATGCTTAGCGCATTTATATCCAATGTCCACTTTAAACTCCAAAACTTCAAAGTCTCAAAATAAAAATGCATGAAGTTCTGCCGAGAAGAAACTCCCTTCACACTTGTTTTAGTCTCTGAATGAGACGATTACTCGTGTTGCCAAAACTGAACGACAGAAGGAGAGTGACAGTTCAGAGATCGCACAACAACCGATTTCTATGGAAATGAAGTACAACCATGCCGATTCCAAATATCTGAGCTTTCTCACAAATTTGGAATCCAAAATAGCAACAGAAAATCTAACAGAAGATGAACAGTTCACAATCCAAAATAACACTGTGCACGCCTTTAAGGACCGAACCCCCTATTCAGTACTATCACAAGAAGAATAGCGAGCACTGATGTGTCGCAAAACAGACAAAAACATCGTCATTGTTTCTACAGAGACTCAACCGCCATCTTGAACAAGGCACACTACGATGCAACGATGCTATCACTACTAGAGGACAGGTTAACATACAAACCCCTTAGTGCGTACCCCACGAAAACACAAAATGAAAATATTGAAAAGGTACTGAAACGTCTTACAGGGAAGAAGCACATATCAGGAGATATTGCCAAATCCCTGAGACAAGCTGAACCAAACATAGCTAAAATCTACGGACTGCCTAAAATACACAAGCCCGACGCACCATTTAGACCGAGAGTATCATTTATAGACGCACCTAATTAAAAAATCTCAAAGTGGCTATTTCGAAAGCTTCACCCATTGACAAAAGACTGTGAAACATCAGTCAACAATTCCATGGAATTTTTGAACAAATTACTAGGGCTTGAAATAACAGCAGCCGAAATAACGGTATCATTTGATATTGTCTCTCGCTTCACGTTGACACCATTCGATTTAGCCAGGCAATACACAGAATAATTACTTAATCCCTACGAAATGGAATTACATGTATCTGCCCTGCTTTAACACTAAGATATATTTTTGGAAACTAATTTCTACTTCGCTCAACAATACCGTAAACAGGTAAAAAGGATCACCGACGCTGTCTTCAATTGCAGACTTCTTGGCCGAAATTACAATGCAAAAATTAGAAACGATGGCCCTACCACTAGTTAATCCCCAGTTGTGGATACGCTGTATCGATGACACGTTTGTCGTTGTTCAACAGGACCAACTTAAAACACCACACAACATTATCCTTTCAAACATGAAAAGAATCACATTTACGTTCTAAAAAGAAATATCAGTAAATGTCCCTTTATTGACGTCCTCGTACAGCGTTATACTGACGGAACGTTTCAAACATCGGTTTACTATAAATAAACATATGCTGATGTTATCCTTCATTACAAGAGCAACTACCCAATTGCTCAAAAACGGAATGCTGTTTTTACCCTAATAAATCGACCAAGAACGCATTGTTTTAACGCCAACCTCTACCAAGCCGAACTCCATTACCTGTTACGCTGTTTTCCAAAAACGGTTACCCCAAACAGTTCGTGCGCCGATGCATGAAACGACAAGTTTAAACAA